TGTGGTTTCACAGGTGCACCGATATGTCATAATTTATCAAATTGTACACATGAAATATGTGCCCTTTATCATCATGTCAATTATTCTTAATTAAAAGTTGTTAAAACAGAAAATCTTGTGGCCAACACACTTCTAAATTCTCACTTATTCCTCATATTATGAGTCCTTTGAGGACATCTCTGTCTGATCCCACTTCTTCTATTAAAAAAATGCTTCACAGAAGGAGAAGCACACGAATTGTGTCTTTTGGAGAGCACTGTGGTGTGGTATGGCAGGAGAGTCTAGGTGTTCCATTAACAAGGAGGAGAAGAAGCCAATGAACTAGATAAACTTAGTCCTTGAGATGTAGGACTAAATGGAGAAAGTGTGGTTACTTTTTTATTTTTTATTTGCTTACTAGAAATTTAAGCACCAAATTTTATCTTGTGAATTCAATCAGCTCTTTATTTCTTCATAAATTATGGTAGAAAGACATTTTAGAAAATTCCTTTTGTTTCTTAATGTTAGATTCCAAATGAGGTATCTAGGTACTAACCAACCCAGCATTCGGGTCCATCTTACTTTTTTTTCCACTGAAGAAATTCTCACATGCCTGTTACTTAAACTATTGCAGAAGAATAAAAAAAAAAAAAAACTTGCTCTGCGTCTTTTTTTCCACTTACAGTAGACCTGATCATTAACTCCAGTTTGCGGGCAGTTTGTTTTTCATCCCCAAACAGTCAGCAACTGCAGGTGCCACTGTGGTACACACGTGAGGGCACACACGTAAGGACACACACACTAGTGTCCCCAAGCACTCACACCTTGACCCTCTCTAAGCAGCAATTCCAATTCCAGCAGGATAAGTGCCAGAAGCCTTGGAAAAGTGTCTAATCTTTCTAACATAATTGTAGACGGCAGGGTTTGTGGTGAGGCCAATCACCCACTACAGTGGGCTGTGAAAGCATTTTTTCCATTTTAGAGGAGTTTTGCTTTTAGTCCTAGCATATGATCTCCCTGAAATGCCTGTAAGTTCAACTTAAGGTCATATTCATTATCATTTCCATTCTATTTTGCCTCAAAATGAATCTTCAAAATTATATTTATGAGCATATTAAATAAGAGAATCATCAGGAAAGATACAGGTATGTGTGAGGTTTCTATGGAGAATAGTCATTGAGAGAAACGGTGTTTTGGGGCTTTGTTTAATAAAGATTTTTTTTTTAAGTTTTTAGAACCTATTGTGGACTGGGTCAGTAAAAAGAACCCTGAACTCTTCTTCCCCTGGAAATAGTGAGCCAGGGGCTGGCCTGTGAATACTGAAGATTTATTCCAAGGGCTATTGGGGCATTTGTCCTTGAAGCTGCCCTTGTCTGAGCACACTGCAGGTTTCTCCTCCCCAAGACTCTCAGATGGTAGGGAACCAAGTTCCATCCTCAGTTGGCCTGTCCCCTTCCTCTGTCTCACCACCCACAATCTGATTCACCCCCTCTCCATCATGTGCACACTGGCTCCTTGGAGTGGTGCTGCTGGTCCCAAACCAGGAGTTCAGACCAGAGAGATTTATATGGCATTAAAGGACAGACTGAAGGGGAAACCATAGGTCTGAGCAATGCTTAAGAAAGGAGCCAGGAACACCAGTGAACCAAGGCCTACTGGAAAGTCAAACCTAGGGCCTTCTCTGGTAGGCATGTGTATCAATAGGGGCAAGCGTGTGGATGAGAATTGCTGTATTAGGGTACATGGCTGACAGTTGAGACAACACATAGAGGGCTAACAAAATAAGGAAAAAGGTTTTTGTGTTTTTTTTTAAATTTATTTTCCATTATAGAAATGGAAGAACGTATTACAAATTATAAGAAGCACTTAGATGAATTTATTTTTATGCCCAGTCATAATGCTGAAAAATGATCCTTAAATATGTGTCAGATTGTCTTGTTTCATTATAACTATAAATTCTTCAAGTATGCTTAGCCTTTATAATTAGTTGCTCATATAGCATATTTACAGAAAACCCAAGGTATCTAATTCATTTTCACTGATGAGAAAATTCATACTAAGTACAAATGCTTACAGTTCTAAAAACTTGGAGAACGGCACACTGACTATTCAGAGCCATGTCACAATGTCCCCTGGAAACCTCTGCTGTACTGGGACTTGATGAATAGGAAGGTCAGTGGCTCAGATCAGGGAAGGAGTTCCATGGTATGCAGGTCCACTGCATACAAGTCAAACTCTCTTTTAATGCATCTTCCTAAAATCCATTTTATTTTGAACTAGTTATGAGCTAAAATTTTAATTCAGTTAAAAAACCAGTAAGAAAATGTTGTAGGGGGGAAAAATACCTTTAACCATCACAGAAAATTAGGTTCCTAACCAGGTGATAAACTTCGATAAGTCAATGACACCCCAAATCATGACTTTAAGTTCCCATTGGTCCCTTGGACAATCAGCATATTACACACATGCTTGCTTGCTTCAGCTGACCAAGTGTGGGTCCACATTGCCAAATTAAACATGGCGAGGACAGCTGACTTTTAGATAGCCTGACTGTAGTGTTCATTTGAAACAGCTTTTAAACAAGTACGATTATGATTGGAACTTATCTCAACCAAACAAAATTCTCCCACTGTTCTTGAGAGATTGTTTGAGCAATACAGAGGTGAGATTGCTAGGTGGATTGGGGAGTGTCACAAGGTTGTCAGCCAATGTGAGACGGCTCCACAGCGTCTGCATACAGTTGGTCTAAAGTATGCCAGAACTCAGTGGCCATTCTAAATGTTTGTCTCCCTGGAGTAATTTTTTGTTTTTTAAACAGAGCACTTAGTTTTATTAAATTAAGCTGATCAGCAAATTACCTTAGCAGCATGTAGACATGGCCAAAGACCAAGCCTTCTGCTGTAGCAGACAGTGGTTCCCCTCATTAGAGAAGTGTGAGGTCTAGTGCAGTGGTTCTCAGACTTGACAGAACATTAGAATCACCTGAGGAGCTTGTAAAACTCCCAGTGTCCAGGCCCCATCCCACCTCCAGCCAGTTAAATTAGAATCCATGATGGTGGGGCTCAGGCATCCACAAATTTTAAGGCTCCCCAAGTGACTCCACTATGCTGCCGAGGCTGAGAACTACCTCCAGTCCTATGGGAAGAACATTGAACGAAGAGTCAAAAAATGTGTGTGACTTTGGGTAAATTACTTCATCTCTCTGAGCCTCAGTTTCCTCATCTGAAAAACTGAACAAGGATATTTGTGCCTACCTATCACACAGGACTGTTGAAAAGATTAAATAAAGTAATGTGGATAAAAGGATGTGTTTGGTGTATATTGAAAGATTATCATGGTTATCTGAAAATATAATTATTTCTGTCCTGTTCCTAGACAAGTTTTCTCTTAAAACATATAAAAATTTAGAATTGTAGAATGTCATTACTGAAAGACTCTTAGAGGTCATCTATCCAGGCCCCTCTCTGGAGAGATGAGCTACCCGAGAGCCACCCACCTAATTAGTATCAAAGAACCCTGATTTCTTTCCGTAGTCCAGACTGGGTTGCCTTCTTGAGGCCTGTTCCTGTTGTGTTTGGGTAGATGCACTAGTTATCAAGCCTATACAGTGAAACATGATTTAGGAACAGCTGTAGGAACTACCTTCTATCTGCCAAGAAAAGAACTGGAGAGAGGGACTGGCTGGTTAGCTCAGCTGGTTAGAGCACAGCCTTTTAACACCAAGGTCATGAGTTGGGATCCCCATACCGGCCAACTGCCAAAAAACAAAGGAACTGGAGAGTAAAGGATCTCAACCACAGTGGAATTCATCAGTCATAATTTCTAAGGTTTCATCAGAAAATTCTAAACATGGGCCGACCCAGTGGCGCACTGGAGAGTCCGCCGCTTGGGAGCGCGGTGGCGCTCCTGCCGAGGGTTCGGATCCCATGTGGAGACCGGTTCCCGCTCACTGGCTGAGCGCGGTGCGAGCGCAACACCGAGGGTTGCGATCTCGTTGCCGGTCCCCGGTGCGGGCGCAACACCGAGGGTTGTGATCCCGTTACCAGTCAGTAAAAAAGACAAAAAGGAAAAAAAAAAAAAGAAAATTCTAAACATGATGAACTCTTCTTGTGTTGGTTATTACATATTGGATTATAAGGCTGTAATTTGATAGGATTTGACACTAGCAATCTGATGATTTGAACTGTATTTAAGGTGTTCCCTATGTATATGTATGTGTTGCCCTAAGCCAGCCATATAGGTAAGAAAGGTCCACTGGACTTGGTTCCAATCACCAGGTGTTACTATGGCCGGCAGGGAGAGGGTGCTGCCCTGAGGAATGGAGAGCCAGATGTTGCACCTTCTCTTCTGGTTTCAACTCATTCTCTTGTCTACGAAGGTGCTCAGAGCCTGTGGCAGCCAGGGCTGAGTACTACACAGCCCTTCAATGTAATTCATGCCTCAAGGCCCCAAGTGGAGCAATAAATGAGGTGACTTTAAAAATCCTCTCCAATCCCTAGAGCAGTCTCAACTTTGGACATTGGAGTCACTTGGAAAACTTTTTAAATGACTAATATCTGCGGCCCATCCCCAGAGATTCTGATTTAATTGGTCTAAGGCGAGACCTGGGCATTGGGATTTTTTTAAGCCCTTGGTTTTCTTGATGTGAGACCAATGTTAAGAACCACTCACTGGAGTCAAAAAGTTAAAAAGTAGAGAAGAAAACATTAATTAGTCTTGAGAGCCCCACATATCATAGAATTTCATACAGCCTTGAGCTTGAGACATTCTTTTCTGATAAACTACTAAAATGCTTGTTGAATTTTGACTAAGTAATTTCAGCCAAAGCAAGACAGCGTTGCTAACAGAGACACCCTTCCTGGCCTTTTAAAGAAACACTTCCTGCCTCACTCTGACACATCTTCCTCCCTATTGAAACCAAAGCAGGATCATGTGATTAATAGATTGACTGTTTGAAAGGTACAAAGGTAGTACCAGAAAATCCCTGAAGTGCCCCCCTAAGTTCTGCTTTTGTTTTTAAGTCACCCAAGAATGTAGGCCATGCCCTTGAGTCATCCAGAGTCTCTGTGACCATGACTTGCAGTATATATAAACGGCTAAACAAGAGATCACTTTAAATGGCTTTATAATAAACAGCCAACAACTTAAAAAAGAAACATAAAATTATGTTTTTAACTGAATTTCATCAAATCAACTCTTAAGTCCTTCCATTTTCTCTTGAAAAAAAAAATGTGTAGAATGTCTTCTGGCATGGACCTCTGTGAATCTAGGTACAGATGCAGGATGGGGTGTGGAAGAGAGTCATACTATCCTAACTGCTTAGGAAAACCTTACCAGACGTTCCCCTTCCATTCTGATTTGTTTTCATATAGCTTGTGAAGTTTGTTCCTGTCTTTAGCATCACAATTATTTTCTAAGATTTCTGTACATATGTTGCTGTTTTTAGAGCCATAAGAAATATTCCACTTTTTCATCTGCTATATGCATCATACTTTAAGCAAAATGTTAATTTATTTAACTTTTGTTTTTATTGGATTGTTTTGATTTACAGGAACTTTATTTGATGATAAAGGAGACAAGCATGCCAAGAAAGGAATTTGTATTTGGGAGTGTATTGATAGAATGCACAAGAGGAGTCCCATTTTCTTTAACTATTTATATTCACCAGTAGAAATAGAGGTATAGTAAGAAATCATTTATGCTTCATTTTCTGAGTATTTTGTGTTAAAGTTTTTCTTAGTTTTAGTACTGTTTATATAAGCTGCTTAATCTTTTTATAAACATTCAACTAAGTTTCATACCAAAAACTATTTAAAAGTCTGAGACACTATGAGTTTTGGTAGTGATGGAAATGTGACCATTCACCAAATTCTTGCTACAAAAATTAGGAGCTGGCCCCCAAAACGTAGAAGGGATGGATAACTTCAAGAAAATCAAAGCAAGGCAATTTTCCCTAGGAAGAAAGAACTAACAAAACAAAATTTCAACAGGTGGTCTAAGCCGAAAAATCAAAAATAAATGTGTGCTTCAAAAAGTTCATGGAAAAATAGAATTAAAAGATAATACAAATCTTTCCATAAACTTTTTGAAGTACACTCGTACTTTAGAAAAGACTTTATACCAAAGCCTTGGAAGGACTGCTATAGGAAGCAGGGATGTTTGGAGCCCAGCCCAAGAAGGATGTCATCTCTCAGGGGCAGCCATGCTCTGCTGTGCACATCTACATGACATAAGCTCTGGGGTTGAGCAGACTGGTTTGATGAGCATTACCACCCTTACTTAGGGGCAGGAGAGGCCCTACCCTGGCCCCATGCATTAGGACCCCGGTCTGGCCTTCCTTCTGCCGCACCTTCCTCATGAGGTGAGGAGTACAGGAAACCAGGGGCACGTGCTTAGATGCCCCTCCTTCATCTAACCCATGCTCTGCGTACCTCTAAATTCCATGCCCAGATTCAAGCTGTTCACCAGGCTACTTCTCCACATGTCTCCCAAGCTAATGCATGTACCCCTAGGCCCAAAGGATGGCAAGAAGTAGCTGTTTGGCAGGGAGTGGACAGCGTTTGGCTTTGTGGGCTGGAGTACACACAGACATTCATTCATGCGAGACCCTCAGAATTTAGGACAGAGCCGAGGTCGGAGAAGGAGGTTAGGCCATGGACTGGGAGCTAGGGCCAGCTCCCCCACTGCCACCACTTCCTAGTATAAAATTCTGAGGAGTCCAAGAATTCTCTATTTGAACCTGGCCTTCCAGGTCATTAGGAAGTTATGTTTGTCAAGGTAGGAGGATAGGAACATGTTTTATTTAATAGTTTACCTTGATGTGTAACTTGTAAGTATCTAGACATGTGGTATTTGAACCTCCATTCATACTCTTGTCCTGGACCCTGCAAATGTTAGGGGCTTGCCTGTCAATAAGCTTGGGGTACCTTAGGGTCAAGATGAAACTATATTTCAGAGTTTTCTCTAAACAGGCCCTGAAGCCTAACGTAAATGTGTCCAGCCTCAAGAAATGGGATTACTATGTAGAGGAGACCCTGTCCACAGGGCCTTCCTATGACTGGATGATGCTGACCCCCAAGCACTTCCCCTCCGAAGACTCGGACCTGGTCAGAGGAGCTGGGCCCCACAGCCAGAGGAGAACAGTGTGGCCATGCTACGACGATGTCAGCTGCACTCAGCCTGATGCTCTCACCAGCCTTTTCAGCGTAAGTCAACCGTGTACAGACACACACTTGGGGGCACCACAGACCCTGGAGGCACATGAGGCCTCAGGAACCAGGCTAAGCTAACACTGGTTTACAGACTTCTGAACAGGGTTATCCTCACTCTGGACTAGCATTATAGTTAGTACTCCTGGAATATGGAGAAACCAGATTTGCTCCCAGCATCATTGGGGGATTGGGCTTAACTACTGGTAAAGAGTCTCAATGAAAGTTAGTTTCTAGCGTTTCAAGGAAGCAGTCACGTAAATGGAACAGTTTACTCCTTCCGGCAGTTTGCCAGCTGTTTTAGCTGCCTGAGCAGCCTGAGTCAGTCCTGGGCTATGGCTTTTGTGGGTGCTTTACTTCCTCTGGTCAGAAGTGTGGGTAGCTGATGGCCTAATGGGAATACCGCCAGCCATCTTCTCTGCAGGGAATATTCTGGAGCAAAAATTTCTCGTCCTGGCAGTAGCCACCCTGAGAAAAGGTTTTAAGCATATGGGCCAGAGAGTTTCTGAAGAGTCAGAAAACCAGAGGTAGAGTGTGCTTTGTACTGTCACAGAGGCAGCAGCCCTGATCTCCAGCTGCCCTGTCAGAAGGGAAGTCCGTTTCTCTGGGCATTTCTTGATTCGTTCTTTCCATATCTGGTTTGAGTCATTAGAGTTGAGGGGTTCCTCTGTCATGGACAGACTTCTCATCTGCCTCATCTATTAGTGTTGGGACACGGACCCAGTGCTTGCTCTTTTGCTTTGCCCATCAGATTTCCTATGGGCTTCCCAAGGGTGAAGGTGTTTGGGGACACATATTTCATCTCTTACTATTTAAGCCATTCTGTATAAAAAGGTCGGTAATAGGTCCTGATAAGTCATCTTGGCCACAGTGCCATACCAGCTAGAGCTCCCACCACTACTCCTGGCTTGGGAGGCCTCTGAGGCCCATGTGTACCGCTTTCTTCTGCTGCCATCTGGGCCCAGCACAGAAAAAGTGTGCTCTGGGGAACATCCTGATTTCCATGAAATACTGATCTTTTGGAAAATTCCTTTTCATTTCTTTGCAGGAAATTGAAAAATTGGAGCATAAATTGAACCAAACCGCTGAGAAGTGGCAGCAGCTGTGGGAAAGGGTATCCGTGGACCTTAAAGAAGAGCCAAGAGCAGACCGTGTGAGTTTGCAAAGCCCCTTGAGGAGCTACTTCTAAGCTTTATGAGGGTGCTAGGTCAGGTGGGGCCCACTGCCACAGGTAAAAAGTCCTACGTGGGCTTATGGCCAGAGGGAAGAGTAGAAAGGAAGGGTCATGCCCTGGGGGTCCAGGGAACAAAGTTCCAAATGACTGAATATTTCCCTAGTGTCTCATTTTACCACAGTGACATAATACTTATGTTTTAGGGCCCCAAATCTAGGGGAAATTACTGGGTTCCTTTCTATCTCAGTGCTTCTGTGGCTTCAGCTGTCTTCTACCACATGAGGAAAGAGCGCAATGCCAAGACCATTTTTGCTCCAGGGAAATAAGCAGAGAGAGAAAAAAAATTTTTTTAAATGACAAAATATGCTACTTTCTGTTGCTCACACTCCCTTTTCTGTTTGTGATTTAAGAAACATTTATCATAAAAATATTTTAAAACCAAAACTCTGTTTTTGGCTTCTCACACCCTATTTCCTGCTTCCAGTTTAAGAAACATTTATCAAGCACGTAATATGCACAAGGGGCTATCCTTAGTGCTGTACATACCTTCACATCCTACTTAATCCACAGTGAGGAAGTGGTGTCCCATCTCATACATGATGTGAGGGGACAGGCACAGAGATATCACACAGCTAGCAACTGGTAGAGCCACCATTCGCACCTACATCACATTGGCTACAAATGCAACAGAAGGGAAGTTAGGACAGATGAGTGTTCTGAGGAGCATTCCAGGAAGGGAAGGTCAGCAGGATCAGACATCACAGAGAGGTCAAGGAGAAGGGAGTATAAAAGAAAACCTCTGTCGTACAAAGGGACCCTCCAGGCTCTGTCTCTTGCCTTCAAATGGCAATTCAGGAGCTGTTATCAGACAGCACAAGTGGTGGTGCCTTAATGCTTTTTTCCTCAGAAAACTAAAATAGTTTCTTCTTTTTTTTTTCTGGTCATGAAAGTAAGGTATATTTATTGTTTAGATAAGTTAATACACAGATAGTTATAAAATAGAAGGTGAAAACCACTCATAATTTGTAACCTAGAAATAAACCACTATGCTATCAAACTTGTTTTATCTTTCTAAACCCACATGTAAAAGGGACTTACTATACATACTATTTTTTAAATCTGCTTTCTTTTCTACTTGACGTTGGCATATATGTCCTTCAATTTGTCACTGTATATAAATCAGTATCATTTTTGATGGCTGTCTAGAATTCCATTATATGGAAATACTGTAATTTTTTTTTTACCAGTCCCCTAATAATGGACATTTAGGTCGTTTCCAGTTTTTTTACTATTATAAACTACTTTAGAATAAACACCTTTGTACATACATCTTTGCTCATTAGTCCAGTTTTTTTCCTGAGATAAGTTTTTATAAATGAAATTATCGTGCCAGTTGCTTAAAGTTTCTGTAAAGTTTTCCTAGCTCCTGTTCTGTCGTTTTCAGTCTCAAAGACACCCATCTGGGTCCCCAGGAATTGTATCTACCAATCTACCTTCCTATCAGAAGAGGTCTCTGCTGCATCTCCCAGACAGCAGCCTGGGGGAGGGGCAGAGTGCCAGCATCTCCCCATCCAATGGAGTGGACCGAAGAGCAGCCACGCTCTATGGCCAGTACACATCCAAGAACGATGAGAACAGGTGACACGCTGGGCCCTGCTGGCTATGCTTAGAAGACTCCCCAAGCTGCCTGAGGCTAAGCCACAGGCCTCCCCAAGCTAGGCCTGTGCACTACGGTTTTTGTAAAAAAAATTACTTTTGTAAACTTGAAAGGGATTTTCTTTAAGTCTTTCCTGTCTTTTTTTTTAATACTTTAGATGCTTCTTTGAAGAGGAAAAAATCAAAATTACAACTAACAGTAATGCCAAGAGGCTGTAGTTATTTGTGGTTGAGTCCTGATTGTTATTATCTCATGTCTGCCAGAGCTTTTGAGGGAAGATGTGTTAGTCAGCATTTTTTCAGTTGGCAAACATCAGAAATCCAGCTCATGCTTGCTGAAGCAAAAAGGAATCTGCTCGCATAAACTAGGACGGCCAAGGGCATGCTAGTTTCCCACACAGTATCTTCTGGTTCTGTTTGTTTCCTGGCTCTACTTTCCCCTTGTGTTGTATCATTCCCAGCATGGCACAAAAGATGGCTACTGATAGTTCCAAACCTCACAAATGTGGTAATCCCAGCAGAAAGAGGCAATCTTTCCCCAAAGGTCTAGTAGGAAAATTCCAGGGAGAATTCTGATTGGCCTTTTTTGGATCATCTGGGGGAAATAGAGACTTGACAAACAAAAACAACAGACATCCCCTATACAGCATTTTTTAAATGAAAATCAAAATTAACTGTCTTGTCATTTCTTCTAGGTCCTTTGAGGGAACACTTTACAAAAGAGGAGCTTTGCTGAAAGGTTGGAAGCCTCGCTGGTTTGTTTTGGATGTAACAAAACATCAGGTAGTACTGTTAAAGCTAAAAGAAGTTTCTCTGTCTAGGATAGTCTTGGTCCCTGGCTCTTATGTGGATCTCAGCAGACAGGTATATTCCTCACGTACAGACTGCTCTCCTAGAGCCTCTCATATGCAGCCTGTGGGCTCCTCCAAGACCCCAGACGTCCCTGAGTGAGGGCAGTAGCCTTCTGAGGGAAGCTCCAAAATAGCTTCTGGTTGGTGCATGTGGTAGAGACAGTGACAGTTGAGCCCAGAACATTAAGAGCAATGGAACTTTTTTTTAAATGCTCAGATATCTCCAAATGTTTGCTCTTAAAACCCAGGTCAGGGAGCACCTGAGGTTTTCAGCCTGTTGCATACATACACATGCACATATAAATCTGTGCCTGTGAGCACTCCCCAGAATACAGGTTACTTTCATCCTTGCAGCAGAAGGCATCCATTCAAAACTGAGGGCATTAATTTTTTCAACAAACATTCCTTGAATATCATCTCTGAGCCCATCACTGTGCTGGTCTCTAAAGACTGTACTTTATCCCTCAAAGATGGTGGCAACAGGGAGAGGAGGGACCCAAAACAGGCAGAAGGGGATGTGCCCACCAAAACCTGGAATTCACAGGGGGCAGGTACTAGACTGGACCTTGCTGATCATGTCAGGAAATCTTTTGCCCATTGTTATGTTCTTAGCTATTGCTGTAGCAACCCCCACGGTCCTTAGCGTCATAGTATGATTCACAGGGGGCAGGTACTAGACTGGACCTTGCTGATCATGTCAGGAAATCTTTGGCCCATTGTTATGTTCTTAGCTATTGCTGTAGCAACCCCCACGGTCCTTAGCGTCATAGTATTTGCTCCAGTAATCTCAAAGGAGAGTGATTCCTACCCAGATCTCCAGCCCCTCTGCACCCTTCACTAGTGAGAATTGTGTGGTCTCCTGCGTTCTGACTGCAGGCCTCACTCCACCTTGGAACTGACAGATCAGCCATGAGGCTGAGGGTTACACATTTTAATTCTCAATACATTCATCTATAAAATGGAGTCTGTTAGGAAAGACCTGAGCTGTTACCCCTATACAGTACTCTGGTTGGACCTGCATCTACAAGACTCCTTCCAAATGAAGACAGTATTTTGGGTCACCTTTTCCTCTGCTCAAGAGACTTCATAAAGATTATACAGTCTTTGTGGGAGACTATAGAGAATTTATTTTCAAATATTCAAATGGAAGCCCTTCTAGGGGACTGTACTTTAAAATAACAATGTCTCTGAAGTCATAGAGCCTACACTGCGTAGAAAAATTCCATTCAACCACTAACTATAACATAAGAGAATGTCATGATTTTTCTGTAATTTACATCAAATTACATTTGCATTTTTACCAATCTTTTGGATTTCTTTAACACGAAAGGTATATGGTTTTTCCATTTAGCCATACTTATACTATGCCTGAGAGGAGAGACAGAAAAGTCTGAGGCCAGAACCATAGTGACGGAAGCCCAGACACATTCCTGCCATGTACTCTGGAGAGTGAAATCCACAGACTATAGACCAATAAGGCTTTTTCACCAGCAATCTCTTTTATTTTTAAAAGTAGTTTTCCATTTTTTTCTTATTCCAAAAGTAATACATTTTTATTATACCAAATTTAAACATTTCATAAAGACATAAAAGTCCCCTGTGCAGTTAAATGTTAAGGTATTTATTGTGTTCTTCAAAATATTTTATATCTACATGCTATTTGGCAACTTTTTAAGCAATATATCTTGAATAATTTTCCTACCAGTTCATAAAGAGATCTTCCTTATTCTTTTTGAAAAGCTGTATAGTATTCTATTTTATTGATGTATCATCGTTTAATTAACTAATACTCCATTGAAAGGCAAGTGTGTCTTTTCCAATGTTTAGCTGATGAAAACAGTGCTGAAGGAAACCTCTTTCTACCGTGTATCTTTACAAGCTTGCGGATGTTTCTGTAGGATAAATTTCTAGAAGTGGGAAGGATGTATCAATAGGCATAAAACATTTTAAATTTTAGTTGATAGTACCAGATTGTTCTCCAAAAAGGTTCTAGCAAACTGTATTCCTACTAACAGTATTTGAGATTACCCTAGTGCCTTATAGGATATTATCAGCCATTTTTAATATTTCTCAATCTAAGTGAAAAGTGAAATCTCATTGATTTCATTTACTTTTCTTTGATCAGTGAGGTTGATCATCTTTTCAAATGTTTATAGGATATTTGTATTTCTTCTGTGACTTGCCTGTTGAGATCCTTTGACCATTTTTCTACTAGATGGTTTATCTTTTTCTTATCAATTTCTGTCCCTTTTTTGTATGTTATATGTACATACATATTTTTACAGCTGTTAGTTAACACACTTTATTTTTTAATAGATAATACATTTATTTCTTCAAATTTCAAAAAAGTACATTATTCTTTTTCCCATTCCTTTCTCCCAGCCACCTAGTTCTCCTTCCTAGAGGCAATGAGTGTTATTAATTTTTTATGTATTCTTGTAGGCATAGTTTAGTGTGTATAAGCAACATACAGAGGAAAGTATTGAAGTACAGTCTGAAAAGCAATGCTGTTTTCCCTTTCTGTATGTCTTATATCCCATCTGTATCCTTTTGGTTTCAGCTGCGATACTATGACTCAGGTGAGGACACAAGCTGTAAGGGCCAAATTGACCTGGCTGAAGTAGAAATGGTCATTCCTGCTGGCCCCAGCATGGGAGCCCCAAAGCACACAAGTGACAAGGCTTTCTTTGATGTAAGTTGATCTTATTTCTCTTTTCCTGATTCTGCCTGCACACAATTCCATTTGCCTTCAAAAATTATAGGGCCTTCAGAGCAATTGGTAGTGACTGCAGATGGGTAGCAAACCCCCTGGCTTATGGGAATTACTCCAGAACTTGAACTCAGCACTCTTGATCCCCAAGCCTGATCTCCCATAGTTGTCTGTATATCTCAGAAAAGCTGCATACTGCTGTGTGCAAAAGGAGTCCAATGACATATGGAAGCAGAAGGCCTCCTTTTTAAATGTTATTACTTATTTCAGTCACCTCCTACTTTCAAGAACAGATGCTACTTCCCTCTGTATCCAGTGTTCTTCCCACTTGATCATCCACAAAAGATTGTCCTTGGTCACATATGATAACTGTATGCCCTAACATCTTCAGCAATACTTAGGTGGGCTTTGGGGCATTTTATGAGCCACATGATAGAAAGAGACTTACCTAGTCCCTGGAGTCAAGAAGGACTCGGTAAAGAGCAGGGATCATACTCTAGGGCCCTGCACAGGCCATGAGGCATTGCCCTGATTCTGAGATTCCAGTTTGGCCCCAGCTGAAGAAAGGGGACTGTATTAGTCTGTTTCTGTTGCTTATAACAGAATACCTGGAACTGGGTGATTTGTAAGAAAATGAAATTTATTGCTTACAGTTTGGGAGGCTGGGAAGTCCAAAGTCCAGGGAACACATCTGGTGAGGGTCTTGGTGGTAGCAACAGTGACTCAGGGGTTTCACATGGCAGAAAATGGCAGAGCAGAGAGACTAACCTCCTCATTCACTCTCCTTATAAAGCCCTCCAAACCATGCCCCTGACCACCATTTTTAGTCCATTCACTACGTCATGGTCCTACAATCTAATCACCTCTTCAAGGCCCCACCTTTCAATTATCATAATAAGATTTCCTACCCTCTTAACACTGTCACAGGGGGGGTCAAGTCTTGGGGGGACACTCAAGCCAAGACAGGGACACAATAACCAACTTAACAGTGTGAATGAATCTCAAGCTTCCCCTTGGAGCAAAGGATCGTCCTCACTTTTACTGCATTAGTGCAGTGCATGGGAGAGGCCAGAGGCTCCACCCATTCCTGACCATTCCTCCTTAGTCAAAGAAGGCCCCACAGGAAGAATGCAAAGTACAGCTTTCCTGGTGTGTCTCCTTTCATGCCAGTATCCTTCTATTAACATCCCCTGTAACTTTGGGGACTAGAAAAATAGAGTAACTATAAGGTAGTGACAGTACAGTAGTGGAGAGAGAGAAAATACAGAGGTTCTGGGGCAGTATGGAAAAGGAAGTTTACAGGGATTGATTTGCCACTTGCCCAGAGCCACAAAATAGCCCTGCCCTTCATCTCTGGTTCTCTGTCATTTGGTTTTGTAGCTCAAGACCAGCAAACGTGTGTATAACTTCTGTGCCCAGGATGGACAGAGTGCCCAGCAGTGGATGGACAGGATCCAGAGCTGTATCTCTGATGCCTGAAGGCTGTGGTCAATCCAAGCAGAAAAGGTAGAGGAATTCATGCTGCCAGAAAGAAAAAGAGCATGCATCCTTGAGAAGCTGATGACAAGTCATCCAGGGCCGGAGGTTTTCCTGCCCAGTCTTACCCAGTCCCTTCTTGTAGCAGTTGCTATGTCTACCTAACCTGAATGGGTGTGTCACACAGGTCTGGTCAAGAGCCCCAGGCACTCCCTGTATCTTGCACTAAATTGTTCTAACAGGGTCTTAGTGGTTAGGGATCAGAAGAATGCCTCCTGAGCCAACTGTCATCTGTCCCCTGGGCAAAATGGCTACCACCTACTTAGGTCGTTCTTCATGAAACCTAGATCCTTTTTATTCTCCAAGGTCATAATTTCCTTGGAGAGCTTTTTAACAAGCAAAAATCAAAACTCTTCAAGATCATCTTACATTCTACATAGAACAGGTTTCCCATCAGAGACACCTACTCTTACTGCCTGACCTTTGAGATGCTCAGTTCTCTGGTGCTGCCAAAAGGTGCTTCCATGGTCCCTGCTTTGCCATTGAGGTTCACAGCAAGAGACATCACTGCTCAGTGGCAGGCAAAGAGGGAGCACACAGGATTGTCCTGATGGAGAAAGATTGTCCAGGGAGTGATGCAACAATGACCAGGCCAATGCAGGAAAATACTGCTTCCAAAACTGACCACAGGTGCTCTAAGGATCCAGGGACTTGTGTTCCTATGTTTTCTTCTGCTCCCTGACAGCTTCTTACACAAAATAACCTGCAAAAACCTGAATGCACTAACCCACAAAACAAACACTTGCACTGAACTCCTAATGACGTGAAGATGTTGGGAAGATAGAGGCCAGCTATTTATACCTGTGACAAGGGCTGTGTAGAGTGCAGTCACACTGTGGCATGATTGGATACTCAGACACTTCTGCACACGAAAAGTAAGAACTGTTTTTAGATTTTCTTTACTTTTGATAACCTTGTGTTTGTTCAGCTTAATATCCAAGGAATGCTGTTTGCTCATGGTAAACAGAAATAGCATCCCTGCTACAGCCACTGATGCCAACTGGAGTCCTAGGTCGCTAGATCGTTACATTTGTTTTGAAATGTTAATATGTTAAATACCAAACTAATATTTCAAAAATATGTATATATGATTTCTATATCCTTGTTTTTCAGATAATCTGCTTATAATTTAATATAAAATTAACTAAACTGATTCATTCCTAAGATTTCAGTAATGAAATGATTCCCTTTTTAAAAAATAAAAAAACTACTTTGCCTTTGTAGATTAAAAATAAATCAGATTTTCAAATTTAAAATTATCTACACACTAGGAAATAGAACTATACTAATAAAAGAAATTGTGGGATAAGAAGAATGAAGGACTTTTCTATCATTTTCATTTTATAAATTGCCACCTGTGAAAATGGTTTTTGCACATTATTTGTATTTTTCTTTGTATATGAAATAATTTTTTGTACTTTGTAAGATATGGAGCCCACTGTACCTTCAGGTCTCCGAGACTGTACACACTGCTTCTTTTGTAACTGATTCTTTTAACTTCCATGAAGGCATCGCATACCTTACACTCACTAACCACCTTGAATTAAATTTATTTCTTAAGAAAAAGAATCCCTCGTGACTGAAATTAAATTCATTCTGCAGTGTGGAGTGCTCAGGAGGGTAACACTCAGAATTTATACATGGGACTAAAGGTTCAAGGTTAAAACAAAGCATGACCCGCTTTGTGCCTTGGTTCTGCTAATGTCATCAACTGCCCTTTGCTCAGGAAGTAACCAGAGATGCTGGACATGCTAGCATGAGCTTCTGGGTTCTGGACACACTCCTGACGATTTTAGGTAAGGAACCTGAGGCCAAGATTCTCACTCCCGCCACATCGCCCCCCACTGCCTCTAAGAAGCTGTGTGACATTGGTTAAGTCCCTTATCTCTTCCGGGTCACAGCTTTACCACCTATGGCAATTTGTGAAAAATCTTAGACATGAGACATTGGAAGCCTTGTCAGGTAGCAGATTTTTCTGCTTCAGGGAATTGTTAAATAGCACAAATGAATAATAAGTGCATTCAGTTCTAGAGAACACGTCCTCTAGTTCAGCCCCTAGAGTTTACCTCATGTAGTCAACAGGGAATGCCGGTTCTCACCAGTTCAGCCAGGGCTGAACCTTTAAGTCCTTTGACCTCCAGCAACCCTCTCTGAGCCAGGCAAGAGGGCTCCCAAGAGCCACAGAGGCTCTAGGTGAGGCAGTGACATCCCCCTCTTTGAGCCTTCAAGTTTTCTCAGTCTGGTGAGCACATTGATCTACCCAAGGGTCCTCAGGACCTTCCTTGGTCCTAGGCCTCTCTTCTTAATGGCTGGCCCTGGGACCTACTATTATTCCCTGCTGTGTCCCTGAGATTCAATCAGGAGGGAAACAACTGGGATTGGGGTTGAGCAGGAGCTGCATTCACAGCATCAGTATCTGGATGCCCCTCATTCCTCAGGCCTTCGCTGTCTGTGAAGGAGAGAAGAACACTGGGTTCCAAGAGGAAAGACCAGGGCCTACTACACTGCAAGAGCCTTAACAGGACCCTCCCTACTTGTGGCTCCTGAGGCGATGCCTTTCTACAGCTGGTATCTTGAATGATGCAGACGCAAGGGAGCTCATTAGGGTAGGTCACACCTCCCAACCCCTTAGGCCCAAGTCCTTTAGTCCCCACTCCTGTCTCCACTCCAGAGCTAGAACTGTTACTGGCAGACAGGTTTGCTTCTCAATGGAATATGACATTTTCACATATTTCATCAGGAGCTCTTTTAAAGAGTTATGAAGTAACCCCATCATCCCATAAAGAATTTCTGAAAGATTGATCCCAAGCTAATCAAGAAATGCCCTAATCAGTGGCAACCAAGGCTTTTAAGCAATGAATAAAGCAGGATTGATAAAGCGATAAGGTTTTCAGCTGAGATGCCAAACAGATATATAATGCCAGCCACATATGTATCTTTTTTAAAAGTAAAAAGAAATAGATGAAATTAATTGTAATATATCTGATTTTTTTAATAATAGTATGTTTTATTTAACCCAATATATCTAAAATACCATTTCAATGAGTAACTGATTCAAAAAAATTATTAACGAAATATTTTATATTCTCTATTCATACTAGGTCCTCAAAATCCAGTGTATATTTTACACTTACAGCACATCTCAGTTTGGACTAGTGTGTTGTCTTTTTTTGGACACCCCTTCTGACATACCAAATGCACGTCACTTTTCCACACCAGTTCTCCAGTTCTCTAGCAACAGTGGGTGTCCAACAATTCAGTTCAATTCTGACGTTTCCCAGAGTTAGTGCAGACCCCACATGTTCAGGGTTCAGTCCCACAAGACTGCCCCCACTTCAGACACCAGTTGCGAATCCCAAAAGCCACTGATGCTTCTGACCAACCAGCTATAAACTTGGAGGCTCTCACAACCCCCTCCTCAGGTTTGATAATTTGCTAGAATAAGTCACAGAACTCAGAAAAAACACTTTACTTATATTTACTGGTTTATTATAAGGAAACAACTCAGGAACAGTCAAATGGAAGAGATGCATAGGGTGAGGTTGGGGAGGCAGCACCATATTCCCCACACTTGGATGTGGTCACCAACCCAGAGCTCTCCAGACCTCGTCGTTCCACTGTTGTTAAAACCCAATCTCCAGTCCCCTTCCCTCCGCTGAGGTTAGGGATAGGGCTGAAAGTTCATACCTTCTATTCACCTGTTTGGTCTTTCTGGTGGCAGCCCCCATCCTGAAGCTGGCTAGAGGACCCACCTTGAAACACCTCATTAGCATACACTCCCGTGTGGTTGGAAAGGGCCTGTTATGAATAGCAAAAGACACTCCTATCACTCAGGAAATTCCAAGGGTTTTAGCAATTGTGTGCCAGAAACTCAGGACAAAAACCAAGTGTATTTATTTTTTACTATACCACAGCTAGCCACATTTCCACTGTTACCAGTGCAGATAAGGAGCAAGTGCAGACAGGGAGCAAGTAGCCTGTTCATGGCAGAGCCTGCAGCAGGAAGAGCTGGGAAGCAAGAGACCTGGCTTCCAGCGCTGGGTCTCTTCTAATTTACTACATGATCTTGAACCAGTCCCTTAAATTTGCTGGTTGACCTGTAAAATGAGGGATCCAGATGATCTATCACTTTGTGATTCCAAATATTTACTTTGGCAAGGACTTAGGTTCCAAACTGAGATTTAAAGGATTTGCTGAAAAAGCAAGTCATCTAAATCAGTGCTTCTCAAATCGTAATGTTTATTTGAATCATCTTGTTAAAATGAAGATTCTGATTCAGTAGGTCTGGGGTGGGGCTTGACATTCTGAACGAGTATTTCTAGTAAGCTCCGAGGTGGTGCCAATGCTGCTGGTCCAAGAACCATGCTTGGGGTAACAGAGATGTGTTAGTCTCGGCCTTCTGAGAAGCAAATGCTAGTGGGCAGGAAGTCAGGGGAGGCCAGAAGAGTCAAGAGACCCATTTGTAAACCAAGCTCAGGATCCTCCAGGTGGCCATAGGTACATGCCAGGGCTTAGGCTCTGGCTACCTCCTCATGCAACTTACTCATGTCCTCTGGCCCTGCTCAGCTCAATCCCAGATGTAGCTTTTCTGTCTTAAGATGGACTGCTGCCAGGCCCATCCAACTTTATAACTTCATGTGTCTAACAGAACCCAACTCGTAATGGGCAGTTTCAGATGCCCCACCTGGTGTTCCATCGTCAAGAATTCTGTCTCTACCAGAGGTTAGTGACATGCCAGAGACTGTTTCTCAAAAGGTGTAACATCCTGTGCTGCAAATGGAGCAGCCTTGCTGCAGGGTGCCAGGGGCCTGTATTGCGATTCTGCCACTGGGACTTGCCATAAGCTCATTGCTACATCTTTTCCCTTTCCAGCACCGTAGTCTGCCGTATCAGTCAATTTTTGTGGCTTATAACAAAATACCTGGAATTTGGTATTTTATAAAGAAAATGAAATTTATTGCTTACAGTTTCAGCAGCTAGGAAGTCCAAAGTCCGGGGAACATATTTGGTGAGGGTCTTCTTTGGTGGTGGCTTTACAGCAATGCAGGCTTTACAGCAAAGCATGGCAGAAAATGGCAGAGGGGAGAGAGAGAGAGCGCCTCATGCCTCTCCTTTTAAAGCCCTCAGAACCACACTCGTGACCACCACTAAACCATCAACTTAATCACCTTTGCCCCACCTCTCAATTACCACAATAGGATTTCCCACCTTCAACAGTTACAGTAGGGATTAAGTTTTAGGGGGACATTCAATTCAAGGCATCTGCCAAGTTGTGTGACCTAAATGGCAGGCTGCTTGCATAGCACCTTGAACCTTCTATAGATCCTTTTCCCTGTATGAGACCCACCTACCACTGGGCAGCCTTCCATGTCACCCATGTGTTGCCTCTAACCCCAGAGAAGGTTACCAGGTACTGTTCTTTCTTCTCTGTGGTCAGAGATAAAGATACAAGTTCTTTTACTTCGGAGGGGATATCCCAGCACACCCCTGACCACTGAACCCCTTAAAGACTTCTTTGAAGTGGCAGGTCTTTGAGTCTTCCCAGGTTTATATGCCACGCTCTGGGGTGCTTGTGGCTTGCCAAGGCCTCCAGCAGACAAGGCTCCTGTTCATCCTGCCCCATCAGCACGATGGCACTGATATAACGAACCGGTGTGGTATTCTGTGGGGGGGCCAGACAGTCCTGATGTCTTGGGATTATATTAGAACAGAGGGCAAGAGAGTTGACATAGCCCTGAGGCAAAACTGTACATGAACATTGTCATCTATCCCATGTGAATGTGAACTGGTTCTGAACCTCTTTTCTAACTGGAATGGAAAAGAACACATTCACCAAATGGCTGCATACCACATACCTAAGGCCCTCCCGAGGTCATCTGCAGTCTGTCCCATCACTCTGCAGGGGTCATACTGGTGAATTAAATGGAGACGTGGTAGGGACCACCACCCCTTCATCCTTTTCACTGTTAATGGTGGCACTAATCTCTGTCACACCCCCGGGGTTAAGATATCATTTTTATTCTTATTTACTGTTTTGGGAAGGGGCAGTTTAGGCAAGTAGGGAGAAGGCAGTTTCAGAAGTTTCCACGTGGCCTTCTCCACTACCAGAACCTTTACTTAGTAGGCCAGGGACCCAGTGTGGGGTTACTCCAACTGTCAGAGCACATCAATGCTAATTAAACACTTGGGTATAGGGCCGAGCCTGTGGCGCACTCGGGAGAGTGCGGCGCTGGGAGCGCAGCAGTGCTCCCGCAGCAGGTTCGGATCCTATATAGGGATGACCGGTGCACTCACAGCGCTCACTGGCTGAGTGCGGTGCGGCTGGTCTCAAAAAGGACAAAAAAAAAACACTCGGGTACAAAGGACTGCTGGGTGGTTTATGGACCCAGTGAACACACTGTGCGCCAGACTTTAACTAGGACCCTGCTTATTACCTGGCCCCTGTAGGCCCCACTTTGAAAGAGGGGCCATGCAGATGCTTTGAGTCTCCAGGTGTTAATGTCAACTCAAACTCTGTGTCTACTAGTCCTCAGAAGTCTTGTTATCCCCCTTTCTGTAGTGAACAATCA